CATTCTCTGTTCACACATTGCTGTGAGGACATTCTCTGTTCACACATTGCTGTGAGGACATTCTCTGTTCACACATTGCTGTGAGGACATTCTCTGTATACACATTGCTGTGAGGGCGTTCTCTGTACGCACATTGCTGTGAGGACATTCTCTGTTCACACATTGCTGTGAGGGAGTTCTCTGTACACACATTGCTGTGCGCGAGTTCTCTGTACACACATTGCTGTGCGCGAGTTTTCTGTACACACATTGCTGTGCGCGAGTTCTCTGTATACACATTGCTGTGAGGGAGTTCTCTGTACACACATTGCTGTGAGGGAGTTCTCTGTACACACATTGCTGTGAGGACATTCTCTGTTCACACATTGCTGTGAGGACATTCTCTGTATACACATTGCTGTTAGGGAGTTCTCTGTTCACACATTGCTGTGAGGACATTCTCTGTTCACACATTGCTGTGAGGACATTCTCTGTTCACACATTGCTGTGAGGACATTCTCTGTATACACATTGCTGTGAGGGCGTTCTCTGTACGCACATTGCTGTGAGGACATTCTCTGTTCACACATTGCTGTGAGGGAGTTCTCTGTACACACATTGCTGTGCGCGAGTTCTCTGTACACACATTGCTGTGCGCGAGTTTTCTGTACACACATTGCTGTGCACGAGTTCTCTGTATACACATTGCTGTGAGGGAGTTCTCTGTACACACATTGCTTTGAGGGAGTTCTCTGTACACACATTGCTGTGAGGGAGTTCTCTGTATACACATTGCTGTGTGCAAGTTCTCTGGATACACATTGCTGTGAGGGAGTTCTCTGTATACACATTGCTGTGAGGGCGTTCTCTGTACACACATTGCTGTGAGGGCGTTCTCTGTACACACATTGCTGTGAGGGCGTTCTCTGTACACACATTGCTGTGAGGGCGTTCTCTGTACACACATTGCTGCGAGGACATTCTCTGTTCACACATTGCTGTGAGGACGTTCTCTGTATACACATTGCTGTGAGGGAGTTCTCTGTTCACACATTGCTGTGAGGGAGTTCTCTGTTCACACATTGCTGTGAGGGAGTTCTCTGTTCACACATTGCTGTGAGGGAGTTCTCTGTTCACACATTGCTGTGAGGACAT